ACACGGAATGACTGATGAGGGTGTGGGTGTGGGTGTGTGGGTGTGGGGTGTGGGTGTGGGTGTGGGTGTGTGGGTGTGGGTGTGGGGTGTGGGTGTGTGGGTGTGGGGTGTGGGTGTGTGGGTGTGGGGTGTGGGTGTGGGTGTGGGTATGGATGTGTGGGTGTGGGTGTGAGAAAAATATATACCCACACCGACACTCATACCCTTCTGTTACGTTTTTCTCTCCTGCTCAAGCGGTAGAACGCCGCATCATAGTCAATTTGCTGTTGATATTCTCTTACATTTGTACGCTTTTTTTTATTATTCAACACAATTATGATAAATAAACCATGTATCTATCAAGTACTCGAATCGCTTTTACATTTTACACTTTCGAGATTTTCGAGATTTTCGAGATTTTGTATCTCGAGATTCTTGCTTTTCGAGATTTTGCACATTCGAGATTTTTTTTTTCTGGATGTGCGATTTTCGAGATTTTTATCATTCGAGATTTTGCATGTTCGAGATTTTGCCTTTCGATCTTTTTTTTTCGAGATTTTACCTTTCGATCTTTTTCCTTTCGGGCAATTAACACTGATTCGAGTATTCGAGTAGCCAGACTTATGACAACATCTAGAACTTGAGCATAGTGCCATTTCTCTCTAGTAAATGATATAAGGCTGAAAATTTCAGAGAACAATAAAGGTCTGTGGGATAATCTATTCTGTAAGTTTGAAGTCGATCTGTCAAACTTTCACTGATTTATGAAGTACACAACTGGATAGGTCGGTTTTGCCACATATCGATTCTTACAGTAAAATAGTTCTAGTTCAACAACGACTTATTAAATTTTAATGAAACTTTTATCACAGATAGCCAAAGTGTAGAGCTACAAAATGAAACTAGCCCCGACTCATAAAATCTTTCTGTTCCTGGGTTATGAAGTCCACAATGCAGACAGAATGCATACATTATAACTTTCTTATACTTCATGCAATCGGGTTGCGAGTGGTGTCGTTGATCAGCATTCGTCGAGAACTATATGCACACTAGTTTTCAGATCTACAGCCCATATTGTGACTGAGATCCAATGGGGGGGGGGGGGGGGATACTTTTGTCGGGTACTGTACATTAATAGCTATGTCTTGACCATAAGAAATTCCATTTCATATCACATCTCTGTCAATACACATTCAGGATGTAAAATGCAATAAGATATGGCATTGTTCAAGTTCTCAATAGTAATATTATTGAGACTACAATGAATATAAAAAGCTATCATGTTTATAACCAGATTCGAAGTTTTTTGTTTACTCTTGTTGAGTATGCTAATAGAAAATATGCGAAAGTATGTTTCTTAAATCTTTTCAATTAAAACCGTATTTTTGTTCGTACGAAGTAAATTATGAATAAAATCCATTTTATAAACTGCTTTCAAATATCTCGTCGGTTTTTGTTGTTTTTCGAACCGAATGATTTCCGTCCTGCATAGTTATCGTTCAAAATGATGAAATCAAAGAAGAAATTGTAAATGATGATGAAGGTATACCACTGATAGCACGTTGTGCATACGATAGAAATTTTGATTTTGACACAATTCGACGTCCAGCATGGAATATCCTTGATCATCTATTGTTTGTTGGAGATGATGCTATTGAAAAAACATATGAAATTGATTACTTAATGGATGATATTCATATGCTATCATCTTCGAACAATCTCCATTTGAGTTCAATAACTAAACGTATGCAATTTAAAATTGAACAAGAAGCAAATTATATTATTAACCAAAACCGTGAAGAGGACGAAGATAAACTCCATAATGCACCGATTAAAGTATTTGATGAAAAAAAAGCTATTTATCAGTATATCCGTGGAGATTATCGATTCAATCTATCTGGTATGCAATCACGTGAACCATCTGATTTAATGATTAGTTATTGTTCTTCTGACAAAAAACTTTGTTTGATTATTTATAATAAATTGAAAGAATCTAAAATGTATCGTATATCATTCGATGAAGCAAATGATCATGAGTCGAACCCGATAGCAATGGCTGATAGTGTTGGACGATCATCGATTATACTCGTTTGTTTTTCAAATAAATATCGACAGTCGAATGCAAGTCGATTAGAAGCTGAATTTGCTAAAAAACGAAAACGAAAAATTATTCCAATTCGGGTAGAACGTTATTATGAACCAACTGGAGGATGGTTATTAAGCATTATTGATGATCGAGAATGCGTCGATTTTACACAAGGCAACTTTATATATGCGTACAATAGACTGATTGAACATATCGATATCGCAATTGACGATGATTAAAAATCTATATGGTAATATGACTATTGTTTTGTTTTGTATAAACGTAGACTCAAGTTAGCACGAATGATATACGCTGATAGTGTGCTTTCTAAATACATTCACATTACACTGGGTGATGAACTTCGAATTTACTAGTTATGTAAAAAAAGTTTTTTTTTATTGTGATTATCTTTTTTTTTTTATATCAAACATGTTCCAAATCAATCGTTCGTTTGAATCCTGCAATTGACGTTGATCAAATTGTGATTCAATTTGCCTTCACGAGAAAACATTCCCAGTTGATACGCTTTGCTTGCCTCCATATTTTGCCCATATGTAGAGGATCATTAGAATAGCGTAACCTTCAAAGGATTTCTGTCCATGTTTAGATTTGATCGAGATAGCGATATTTTAGTGGATTCCTTTTTTCGGGTGTGAGTTTGAGTGTGGCGGAGATAAAATGAACAAATACTTACACTCACACCCACATCCACACCCTCATAACGCCAAAAACTTTACAAACATGCTGCGGGTCCTATGGAACAGGAATAGTTGTAAAGTTGTAAAACCGTTAATAGTTGAATGGTCGAACAGTCGAAAAGTTGAATAGTTGAAAAGTCATTATGACCTAACAAGTTCTACATGATTGAAAAGACCTGACCGTATGTGGATTCAAAGAGTGGTTGACTCCAACGGGTGGCAAGCCTAAGGGAAATATTATTAATATTCATTTGAGTATTTTTGAACCATCCTTCAATTTTTTGCCATCAAAATGCCATAGTGGAGTATTAGTAACCTTCTGAATCGATTCTGTTCAATAAAGATGTTGCTTTCTAGACTGATTCGCATTTATGTCGAATACAGAAATAATGAGCAGTCAAAAAAATTTTCAAATAATGTCTTGAGTATGTATGATCCTGGCTTTAATATGAATGCTGTCGGCTGTACTTTAGCTAATACATACATGGATGAGACAATAAAAGAAAAGCATTTTCACAGAAACCAATATTGCTCGCCATATAAAACTTCACATTTTCAGATCATTATTTTGTAATCAAAGGTTAATCATGGCTGAAAATGTGACAACGACAAATGATTCATTGAAATCGACATCATGTCAAATAGTTGAAAACTTTGTTTTCGTTTGGATAGATTCTAATTTCGATGAACCAAATGAGAAAAATCAACAATTTATTTCTAAACTCGAAAATATTGTCAATTCAATTCAAAAGTTCACCGATATTGATCAATGCATCGAATTTTTAGCAAAAATTAAAGATGAAAATATCTTTTTGCTTATTTCGGATCCGCTTGGTCGGAAACTTCTTCCGTTAATCCAACAATACACTCAAATTTATTCAATCTACACCACTCTCAAGCAACAACCATGGATGAAACAGTACGATGATATAAAAAACGTTGTCTCTCTAGATGAACTTCTGAATATATTGGAACAAGACATTCGTCAATTAAATAATGATTTAATATCTATGAATATCATTCCACAATCACTTAATACTGATCTAAACCGACTTGAACCATCATTCATGTATTTTCAATTGTTGAAAGAAAATCTTTTTGTATTGGAATACGATCAACATGCCTTTGACGAATTAGTTACATTTTGTCGCACAAAATATCATAATAAGAAAGATGAACTAAAAATTATTGACAAATTTCAAAAAACCTATGATAAAAATACAGCAATTAAATGGTACACTGATGAATGCTTTGTATATCATATGCTTAATAAAGCTTTACGAATGGTTAATATTGAAACTATTATGAAATTTGGATTGGTTCTTCATGATATTTATTATCAAATCGAACAGCGTCATCTTGAATCCAAATATGCTCCTGCTTTGCATGATAACTTGCATGTTGTTTATCGAGGAAAACGTATATCAAATACTGAATTCGAAAAAATAAAAAGAAACATTGGTGGTCTCATTTCTTTCAATAATTTTCTTTCGACAAGCGAAGAGTTTAGTGTTGCTTCACGGTTTGCTACAGTATCCAGATCGAATAAAGATAAAATTGGTGTTATTTTTACAATAAAAATTGATCCATTGAATGCATCGGCTCCATATGCCTCTATCAAAGATATAAGTCTCTATGATAACGAAAAAGAAGTTTTATTTTCGATATCGAGTATTTTTCGAATTGATGAAGTTTCTAAATGTCAAAAGAACAAGCGATTTTGGCAAGTCGACCTATCGTTAACTAGTGATAATGATCCACAACTGAGACGTCTAACTGATCATATGCGACATGCACTGGGAGGCGGAGATGTTTGGCATCGAATGGGTCAATTAATGATTAAAATTGGTGAACTTAAAAAAGCTGAAGAAATCTTTGGAATATTACTTGAAAAAGTACCACAAAATGATAGGAAACAATGTGCTTTTTTATGCAATCAACTCGGATATATCTGGAAACAGAAAGGAAATTTGGATAATGCACTTCACTATTATAAAAGCTCACTTGCTACTAGTTTGAATTATTTACCATCGAATGATCCACTTTTTTCGAGTGTATACTCAAATATTGGCGGAATTTTAAAAAAGCAAGGAAAACTCGATGAAGCATTGAAATATTATCAACGTGTATTGCAGAATGATCTTAGCATGTTTGAACCAAATCAAATAGAGATCGCCATTGATTATAATAACATTGGTGCAATACTTGAAGAACAAGGCAAATATTCAGATGCACTTAAAAGTTATGATCAAGCCTTAGAAATAAAACTTGCTCATCTTCCACCAAATCATCCGTCATTAGCAAAAACGTACATGAATATTGGTTCACTTCATCATAAAATGGATGATAATGCAATGGCAATTACATATTATGAAAAGGCACTTGCTAATCAACAAAGATCACTTCTATCAAACGATCCATCATTGATGATAACTCATATAAGATTAGCTGATCTATATGAAAGTCTACATAAATATAAAGAAGCAGTCGAGCATCGTCAAAGTATGATTTATATCGCTCGTCAAATACTTGGAGATAATCATGCTGAAGTACAGAAAGAGCAGAAATATCTCGATGAATTGCGTAAGAAAATCTAATTTATTGTTTATGATTTATTGAATAGTCATATTTTATAAAAAAAAAATATCGATATATTTGATAAATAAATCTGCCTAGAATTTCAAAGAAAAATTTATTTTTTGAGAACTAATGTTGAAAGCTATCAATCATATGTTCAATTTATTCTTTCGTAGAAATGGCAACATAGAAACAAGATTTGTGAAATGCATTTTACATGCAGTCACCTTCGCTTGTTTGTACACAAAAGAAAAACATTTATTTTTCATCATGGAAAATTTTAACAATAAGATAGTCTTAAAAATAACTCACAATGAAGGTGTGTGAACTGTTGAGCGAAAAGATTGACTATATTCGGGTCAAAAGAAAGCTTTCAGTGAGAAACTAACAAATTTAAAACATGAGCTGCATATGGCTTACCTGGAAAGAAATATTCAATTTTTAAGTTATGCATTGCTAGAGTATACAAGCATGATAATATATGAATTAGTCACATTAATCGTTTAATATAATTATCAGATTGTTAAGAAGTGAATTTCTAAAATCTAGATGAGAGGGTGTGAGTGTGGGTGGGTGTGGGTATGGGATGTGGGTGTGGATGTGGGTGGGTGTGGGTATGGGATGTGGGTGTGGGTGTGGATGTGTGGGTGGGTGTGGGTGTGGGTGTGGGTGTGGATGTGTGGGTGGGTGTAGGTGTTGGCATGGGATCTAAGTGCGCATTAAAAAAATGACCCACACCCTATTTTATGCTACAGTATGTCTTCTAATAAAGATTCATTTTTCATGTAGACACTGAAAGTTCCACAACTTGGCTACAATGAAATCAAAGTCGAAGGTGCAGAGCACTTAGCTCGTGCATTACGTACCAACCAAGTGAATTATAGTTCTTAACTTATCTATTTCACATCTCTGCTATTTTATTCGTATAGACACTGAATACCTTGAAACTTGACTGTTGCCATATTCAAGACGAGAGAACAAAACATTTGGCAGATGCATTGCGCATCCATAGAGTAACGTTATCTTTCTACACATTGCTACTCTTACAATTCTCTTGATTTATGCATATAGACACTTATTATGCTTAATCTTTGTACAAATGATATCACTAGATATGGACTACGATATTTGACTCATGCATTAGAAGACAACGGAGTACATTGTTTTGTATAATTAATTCTCTCATATTAATATGACTTTTGGACAGACTCTTGTGCACATTAATTTGCTAGGAAATATATATGGTTATTCCAATAGTGCTGAAGCAGCAATAAGAATGCGTCATAATAAGGTAACTAAAAGTGCGTTTATATTTTAAATCAGATATGAAACCATACTGATATACTAATCACTAATTGATCTGCTTTTTGTATTGTCTCAATATTTTTATTGCTGGCTTAGACACTCACCGAAGTGTCCGTTTCCAGGAAAGGAATTGAATGCGAAGCCATACAGCTGTTGATCGATGCTTTACGAAATAATACAGTAAGAATTAGTTTTTCTAATCATCTATATAATGTGTATCTTTGATTTTTTCATGCAGACAGTCACTCAACTGAACCTTTGTAGTAATTATATTGAAAATGAAGGAGCAAAATATCTTGCTGATGCATTATGAACTAATACAGTGAGAAGCATATTATTTACTCATTTGTCGAATAAGTACATTCACTTTTATATATATATATATATATATATATATATATAGGGACTTATTGGACTGTATCTTGCAAGTAATCGTATTCGAGATGCAGGGGTAAAGTACCTAGTTGATGCATTACAGCACAACACAGTAAGTGTTATTAAGTAATCAAATTTGACATATTCACATGATTGGTTTCATAAAGACACTAACAACGCTTAACCTCGCAAACAACAAAATCACAATCGTTGGAGCAGAATATATGGCAACTGCACTTCTAACCAATATAGTCAGTGATTTAGTTTTCAAGTTCAATGAACTTCTTCTTTTATGTTGACTTTCACTAGTCAGACACTCAAATATCTTTTCTTATACGATAACTTGGATGATTTTTGTACAGTTATTGAAGCTATGATAAAAGCACGAAATGACAAAGTGACTATCGATCTATTCTTGTGTATGTATGATGAAGCAATTATTTCTTTTTTTTTTGCTTAGATAATAACTAAATTTGAGTATTGTGGCAAGAAACCTAGAGATCAAGGGGCAATATATCTAGCTGATATTATCAAAAATAATACGATAGTCATATGTTTTTTTTTTATTAATCCGTCTCACAGGCATTTCTATTTTATTTTTTTTTGCAAATTAGAATATCACTGAACTTGCACTTTCCAATAATAGCTTCGAAACTACGGGCGCCCAATATTTTGCTAAAGCATTGCAATATAATAGAGTGACATCATTTTCATCTTGTTGCATACTTTTTAAATTTTTGTTTCTTCATACAGACAATTCGATCATTTGAGTTTTCTTATAATAATATAAAAGATACAGGAACAAAATATTTAGCAGAAACATTAACAATGAACGAGGTGATATTTTCTCTCTTTCGAATTTCTAATATTTATATTGTTCTTTTGATACAGACAATAACCTCAGTAAATATTTCCCATAATAATATACATGATACAGGAGCGCAATACCTAGCTGATGCATTATTAAACAATAAAGTAGAATCCATATATTATCTACTTATCACTACATGACATAAATCATGATTTGATCATACAGACACTTACTAAGCTTGACCTTGGATGGAATGAAATCGGAGATACTAGGACAAAATATATTGCAGACATGTTAAAAACAAACACGGCAAATATTTTTTTTTCCATTCTTGAGTTTATGTTGAATGCGAATGTGAGTGTATCATTAGGCTAGAAAGAAAACTTGATTGTCAAATGTTCTCTTTCACATGTATGGTATTTTTTTTTCGCACAGACACTAACTATACTTCACTTATATATGTGTCATATTGGAAAAAACGGAGCAATGTATTTAGCTTATGGACTGCAAAACAATACAGTGACATATTTGATTGTCGAACAAATTTTAACAAAAAATTTCATTTTTATTTTCATAGACACTCATCAAACTGGATCTGGGAGTTAATTCAGTGGGAGAAGTAGGAGCAAGATATTTAGCTGATTTATTACGATGTAACCAAGTAATGTATTTTCCTATGTCATCATCATCTATCTACATTTTTTCATGTACATAGACACTTATGTCGTTAAATCTTTGGAGGAACCATCTTCAAGACGAAGGAACACAATATTTAGCTGAAGAATTAAAACACAATAATGTATTTATTCTATTAATCATCTTTCTCATATTTGCTATCATTTTCCATATAGAGACTGACAAAACTGAACATTGGAAGTAACTCTGTGGGAGATAAAGGAGTACAATGTCTGACCAATGCATTACGAACAAACAAAGTAACTTATTTCATAGAATTATCGTTTAGATATTTGTACATTTCTATACAGACACTGACTTCATTGAAATTGTCTGACGAGGGAACCTTTTCAACTGTCCAATCGCTTTTGAGTTCGAACTCA